GCAGAAGTAGGATTGTGACCTGAGTCTGGTCCAGACAAAGGCACAACTAATTGAAAAACTATAGCAAAAAAGGGCTGAGGATATGGTTCAAGTGATGGAGTGCTTGCCTAGCAAATATGAGACCCTGAGTTCAAACCGAGGAGGAGAAGAAGAGATGGAAGCACTAGATAGAGAGAGGAGGCCAGCAGAGTCCATGGGCCCAAGGGCAGCCGCTCAGTTATTACTCAAAATTGGTGTTCACCATGTTCTCAGAATTAGTATGAAAGGGGTCAGGACCAGTGGTTCAGAACAGACTTGGAGTTGAGCTGGACCTGAGTTCAAATCCCTACTCCCCAAATTGACTCATACAAATTGTGTCTTTAAGTTTGTTTTCTTATTTGTAAGAATAAGGGGACAACATCAACCTCATCAGATTTTTGTTAGATTAAGTGAAATGATATAAATGCAATGCTTATGCCTGGCACCAATACATTGGTAGGAGAAAGCTCTCTGGAGTGGAACCGATGACATAAAATCTATAGAATTTAACGACTAGGAAGGTGGGAAAGGGTCAGGGGACAACCAGAGTGGCTGCCATGTTTCTGGCTTCAGTGACTAGGGATTCAGCAGTGCCTGCCAACATAACAGAATGAGAAGCAGGACTGGGGGGGAGAGGGAGCAGTGGGGAAAGCTGGGGCAACACTGAAGAATTTGATTTTGCTTTAAGCTTGCAATTTATTTGCTTGAAGCTTATGGCCTTTCTGAGCAACAATGCTCACCAGATAATTGAGACTGAGGCTCAGGTGAGAGGTCTTGCTTGGCAATATGGGTAGAGTTACTGGCATCTGAGTGCTGTTTAACCTTTAAAGCGGTAAGAGTGGCCCATGGGATCTAATTCTAACTCAACCTTAACCAAGTACCTGGGAGCCCATGGGAGTCTGTGAATACATGTTAGTCTATGAACACTGTGAAATGATAGAAAAGTCTGTTGTCTGTGTGCGTTTCCCTAGATCCAAGCTGTGTGCAAATTATCAAAGGAGTCTATGAGTGTCTCCCACACACATCCCCCAACCCCCATCTCAAAGTTACAAGCCATCAGTATAGAGGGAAGCACCCCCTGGGGAGCATGGACATTCATGGTACAGGCAGAGATGAAAGAGAAATGGAGAGAGAGAGAGAGACCCGAGGGAAACTCCAAGATCTTAATAGAGTCAGCTGCAGCTGTAGAATGGATCAAGATAAGTACTGAATTCAGTAGTAGAGGGTGCTGCCAGTCTTACCCACACCTTGGGTTCAGTAGACACTGCCAGTGGTGACACAAACCAATGGCTTCATCCTTATTTTATGAACAGGGAAGGCTTCACATAAAGGAGCTTGCTTTTGCTAACAATGACAACCCAGCAAATGAAGTCTCACAAGTCTAAGTCTGTGTCAAGGGTGCACAAAAAAGCCCCTCCTGCATCATGCATGGTGACCACGCCCCAGCCTGTTGCATTAGGCTATCATCCACATGACTGAGACCCAATGAAACCAGTGCTGGGAAACTCTCTGCTAATGCTCATGTCTTCTGTTTGTGTTAACCAAGAAAACCATGCAGGGAAAAGGCTGATGGCAGGTCCCGGTGCCAGCATGGGTTCTGGATGTGTATAAGGTCCCTATCTTCACTTGCCAGTTTTAGGAGAATCACTCAGGCTCTATTCCAGTTCTGTTACCAGCTGTTTGCCCTGGAAAGTTAGTGAACAGCCCTGAGTTTCACTTTCTTCATATGTGAAATGTAAATAGTAATTCATGCTTCAGACTTGGTTGTTACAATTTAATGAGGTAATATACTGAAGCATTCAGCTCAGAGTCAAATACATAGTCAGCATAATACATGCTGGTGGGGGTTAGCAGTGTAGTCTAGAGCAGTGCTGTCCAAACATGAGCCATGTCCATAATTATAACTATTCTAGTAGCCACCTGTAAAATCCCAAATAGGTAAAATTAATTTTAATAATTCACTTTACCCAAGATAGCAAAAATACAATCAGCATATATTGAATATACAAGTATGCAATTTATTAGTGTGGTTTTTATTTTCTGCCTACCAAGTCTTTCAAACATAGTAGTTTACATTGATGGCACACCTCAATTCAGACTCGTGCCATGTGCCTAACAGCCACGTGTGGTTACTGGCTACAGTACTGGGCAACACAACTCTAGACCTCTAGCCACACCCCAGCAAGCACAGTAGGTCCATAATTCTCTCCCTCCACAAGCATTACATTTTCCCATTTCAGAAATGATCTGATCTGGTATTAGCTAGATCCATACTTCTGATCATTTTTCAGCCTCTCCTATATTATTAGCTTTAAGATACTAAAAGGTAGACAAGTTCCTGTGATGTGCAATAGGCAAAGACTTCATTGATGCTCCCCGAGAACTCACTGCAGTAGTTTGTACACTTACAGATCATTAAAGAACTTCTTCTCAGTGATGAGTAGTACTGTGTGAAAGAAAGGGGAGTGGGCAGATGATATATTTAACAAGAAGGACAACCTCCAAAGCCATAGCCTGGCTACAAAATGCAAAGTAAAAATAGTCATTTGCTCAGTATAAGCTGGGGTGCGTCAGCCTGGGAGAGACAGGGAACACAGGAAGGAAAGGAGCAGATGCACACACGGAGGTCTCAGCACATAAGGGTCTCAGGCTTGGTAGGTCTGCAGTTCAGATAGCACCTCTGGGCAGCAGCAGACATCATTATCCTGCCTTGGACTGCTGTGGCTTTATCTTCAAAGGCAGAGTGAGATGAAAGAAAAAGAAGTGCTTTGTTTTTAGGGGAAGTAGGAGAAACCACCTTTTCTGTAGTCAGAAGAGAAATGGATTTAATACAAATTACATTTTCCCATGTGTTGAAGGACTCAACAGGGCAATAAACTTTTGTTATGAAATACTGATAGAACTTTCACATGGATCTTTTAATACACCTTTGGTTTTGTGGTACTGGGGGTTGAATTCGGGGCTTTGTGCTTGCTAGGCAGGTGCTCTACTCCTTGAACTCAGCCCTTTTGGTGTTGGTTATTTTTAAGATAGGGTCTGGCTTTAATGTCCAACCTGGACCACGATCCTCCTATTTGTGCTTCCCTGCATAGCTGGGATGATAGGCACATGCCACCACACCCAGGTTGAGATGGGGTCTCACAAACATTAGCCCAGGCTATCTTTGAATCACGATCCTCCCAATCTCTACCTCCCAAGTAGCTAGATAATATACTTCGTCTTCATGATCATTCAACTAGTAAAGTAACATAGGTTTTTCTGAGCAGTAGATTCAAAACTCTACAAGGAAAAATTTAAGCAAATAAAATGAAATTATTGTCTCTGGTTATCACAAAGACAGCAACTCAGCAAACAAGAAAAACCCAAAGTCTAGTAAAGGGTCCAGGCCATTGACTCTAAAGGCAAGAGTTCTTTAGCCCTCAGCAGTCTCCATGGCCACCCCACCACACCAACATATTATGTTCACAATAAACATGGTACCCAGAAGAGGTCCAGCCATAGCTGATACACTCTGACTGAGGAATGCAAGGAGATGTGTAAACCAATGCAGAAAACCAATGTGCAGTCTGGACATGTTATTTTCTCAAAGGAAAAATTCTATTTTGGACAGTGCAATGTGAAATCCAAAAGATCTGGGCACCTCTGAGGAGTATGACCTTGTATGCATTACTTATCTTCTCTGAATTTCTTTGCCTACAAAAGTGGACAATTACAACCAACTCTGCACACATTTTGTGAAGAATAAACATAACATGCATACAAGTGTTTCACATAGTGTCTGAGACACCAGGATAGCAGCCGTTATGTTATGTTTACTTTCTATTACATGTGTCAAATAACATGAGAATAAATGGAATTCTCATATTCATTTCCTTATCAGCACAATGACTTCATTGAAAAGGCTTTATTGAAATACAGTACAAGGCAAAGGCCACTAAAATGACTTTGATTTTTGAATCTGTGTATGCAGCAAGCATGTACCTTTGAAACCCTGGGTGATTTTGTAAAGTTTTACTTTTCCTAGTTTAATAAAAAATGAAAATGGTCTTGAATGCATTGTAAATGTCCTTGAAAAATGTGCTTTTTTTTTTTTTAAACAACTTATTCATCCACCACAATCTGAGAGTTGCGGGGGAGAGGAGTAATGTATACTATGCTATGTCTTTGTATGTACAGCCTTTAAATCATCATGTACAAAGATTTCTCCCCCGTAATCTCAAAAAAAACTGTCAAACTAGTAGGGATTCCTTTGGTCCTGAAGAAATACATCTAAAAAACCTCATTCACACTATAAAAAAAAATAGTACTATGATTTTCCTTAAAGCAACTCCTTATATTTTAAGAGAAGGCATTCCCTAAAAATAATAACCCAAGAAAAATCTCTTGAAGCTGGAAGAGTGGCTCAAGTGATACAGCACCTGCCTAGAAGAATAACGATCTGAGTTCAAACCCCAGTGACTCCAAAAGAAGAAAAGAAAACTCTCTCGATGTCTAAGAAATGCGAACACAACTTGTATGAAGACACTGATTCCAATACTTTCTATGCTGGTAGTAGAATGCTAGGCCTCTGTAAGAATAAAGGGTTGAGACCTTCCTTAATCGATGGGAATCAAACCTTATGGTGCGGTTTTTCTGTTTTTGTTTTTGCAGTGTTGGGATTGACAACTCAGGGCATCATGCATGTTAAAGGTGACTTGGTACTGCAGCTTAATGTCAGTCTGGTTTTACTTACAAGATCTGCTTTGGGTTATATTACTCTGTGGTAAATGTTCTGTGTGTGTGTGTGTGTGTGTCCGTGCATGCATGTGTGGATACACAGACTTTGGGTTGATAAGCTGCACTGTTAGAATCTCTGTAACATTTAAGACCCTTCCACAAAACTGCAGCTTCTACCGGGTCAGGTTGCACCTGGTGTGAGCCGTTACAAGAAGACAGGAGGCATTCTGATAACACATTCACAGCAGCTACATGGCTAGGTTTACCTTTCTTTGGTCTGGATTTCCCTGGCAAGGCCTCCTTTCTTTCCATGGCAGCTTCTCTTTCTTTCCATCGACGGATCTGTTCCTCCCTCATCTTGAAGAACAGGATCTGTTTCTGCTCCTCGCTGAGCTCTGCCAGGAGGTCAGGATCTATGTACATCTCCGACAGTATCTGCCTCAGCATCTCTGCAGATTGGAGTCTTTTACACCTGTGGCAGAAGTTCCTGAAAATGGCTTGCAGGTGTGCAAGCCTCCAGCCAGGCTGGCACTCAGGGGCGTCCACAAACCTTCCCTGGGACTCCAACAGCCCAGCAATCCAGAACAACTGGGGCCTGCCCCAGCACACTGGCTCCTGGAGCTGGCACCAAACAGCCTGCTGTAAGAGCCACTCAACAAACCTGCAAAGAATAACAGCCGAAAGTCAGGCAGCATTAAAATACATGTGAGGCGAGTTTATAACTGAAGCTCAGAGGAAATATAATGTCGTTTTTCCTTTCAGGGGAAAAGAGAAGAAGAAAGGCTGAGGTATGCTTTGTTAAGACTTTGTGTAACCTCTATCCTATAATTTCCAAAGATACTTTATCAAAAAAACAGGACCAACCCTAACTTTATACAGGTCAATCTCAGGGAAACAAAAATTTAACAGAGGTTTGGCCTTCTTCCAACTAAGCAAACATATTATTACCCCAGAACCTACTCAACCACCAACTGGATGGCTGAAAAAAGAATTAATGCCAAAAAAAAAAAAAAAGTCACAGGTAGAAATTATAAAGCTCTCTCTAAACAATCTATTTCAAAAGAAAATATCAGTTTTGAGATCTAGCAGAGAGACTCACCCTAAACCAAACCAAAACAGAGCCAGGTTTGAGAAAGAAAAAAGAAGAAATCAAATTGGGACCACAGTGTGGGTTTTTACATTTTCTCTGAAAAGTAGCACTAAATAAACGCAGGCTTGTGTTTTCACCTTCACCAAGGACAGCGTGATTTCCAGACAACCTCCTAGACCCAGGAACGCAGTGTAGGTGCAGAAGAGAATGCACCTGTACATTCTGGAAGGTCACCAGGTTTTAGGTGCCCCTTTTCCAGATAACCTGATTTAATAAACTCTAAATTTACAGACTAGATAAGTAGGTTCACAACGAAGGATCTCTTATTTATAAAAGTTTATTAGAAAGCTCCTTTTAAAAGAAGCCATGGACTCAGGCATGCACAGTGGTGACCCAGAGGTACTAGAAGCAGGTGGCAATGCCCTTAAGTCTCGTTCTATTTCTTACATTTCTAAGTGGTTAAATTTTTTAAAAAACAAACACCAAACCTTCCTATTTTTATCATCAGGAGGAAATTATGTATATATTACCATTCTGGAAGAATATATTTTCATTCATTTTAATGTCACTACAAGTACAAAAGTCTATACTAGACTTTTCAGGATCACCTGTGTTCTAAGAACCCGACTACTAATTGGGTGTTTACAAGGCCTCAATAATCGCGCGATCTAGCCCTGCCCGCTCAAATATGGTTTCAGGTTCAAAGACTCTTAAACCTGAGAGCAGTTACACTGCCATATCATGGCCACAATAATTCTGGCTTCTCTTATTTCCTTCGTTTTGTCATTCATACAGTTGGATTTTGAATGTTCCTGTCTCCCTCTGGGAGTCCCCTTCTCCTTTCCTTCCTCTTCTTCTCTGGAAAGTTGTTCCTTGACTGAGTCTTTTGAGAAAAGCCTGTTCAACAGGTAGGTACCCAGAGTGCTTTGCGAATGTAGCAGTTACATTCATTGTGCAGCAGGACCTTCACTGAAACTACTTGCATCCTATACTCTGCCATATGGCACTTGACTCCTGCAATTCAAATGTAACAAAACATCAAGAGAAAGTTTAGAAATCATTAAAAACATGTTTAACTCTTAAGTCAGTCAGTTATGCTCCTTTCAGGCCCCCTGGGAATGCTGCATTTTGCTTTGAAATGACCTTCTTCAAAGGCTTCCTCCAGTTCAGAGTTGATGTCTAAAAATGATGGGTTTTGGTCATACTGAGGTTTGAACTCAGAACCTTGCCCTCTATGACTTGAACCGTGCCTCTAGCCCTTTTTGCTGCAGTTATTTTTCAGATGGGGATTTTTGCTGGGGCTGATCTCAAACAGTGATCCTCCTATGTCTGCCTTCTACATAGCTGAGATTACAATCGTGAGTCATCATTGCCCGGCGCTCATAATGATTTCTTGACTTTTTGGTTCTAGTATCTTCCCATGGGGTGGAGCCCACCAAGTGCACACTGAAGGAGAGGTTTGTAGAGGACACTCCTCTTCCACAAGAAAAATCTGGTTCTCTGGCACATGTGACCCCAAGGCTCCTGGATAAAGTATTAAGAAATCAAAGAGGGAGACTCCTTGACATTCCAGAAAGTGCTCTTGGATGGGTGCATTCCATGACTCTAGTGGCTGACAGTCACAGAAATAAGACATGGTAGAAAAAAGAGTGGCCAATGAGGTCTGGGGCTTCCATTCTCTTCCCCCCATTTTGAAAAGGGTAACTCCTATTAAAGGGTTGGGGAGAACCTAGAGTTAACACTCTTCAAGTGCCGAATTCACATTCCTCCCCTTTCCTCACCCAGTGTACTCCTGATAAGGAGTGGACACTTCCTGTTCCAGGCTCTACCTTGAGCATTTTACAGGCATCAATCTACATTTGCACGATAATACTGGGTATTCAGTCCCATTTCCCATTAGGGAAGGTGGAACACAGAAGGTTGGTAGCTGGGAAGTGGCAGAACTGGGCAGCCTGACTCTACATCCATGCCACTGTCTCCCACATCACAGAAGCCCCTCTGTAAGTTGATCAGTGAACCCAGAATCAGCACATCATCAGGATGTGGTACCACATGTGACACTGCAGACCAAAGACCAGAGAATTCCTACAGCAAGAGAACTGTTGATCTGAAGGGACGTGAGCAAGTGCCTCTCGGGGCAGAAGTCTCACCTGGCCAACTGTAGATAAGCTAAGAAGCCAGGTATTGAAAACACCCCACCCAGAAAGGACAGCAAAGATCTAGCTGCCAGCTACACTGGCTCAGGTGTGGACATTGTTTGTTGACTTTACTTACCAGGCACTTAGTCTCCCCAAATCCCCCTCCAAACCCCCACTAGAAGCAGCACAAAGGATGCAGCCTCTGGCATGTGTGAAGTTTCACCAAACCTCTGGGATGAAGTGCCCAAGCTCTTTCAGTTTTAATTCTGTTTTGTTTTGCAGCAAACAAGGGTTTCTAGCATTAAAGTTTCTAGTCAATCTATTTAACTTCCTGTGTCTTCAGTGAATACTAGGCAATCCAGCTAAGGACAGTCTGCAGCCAGGTTGTTGAACATGCATGCCATTCTGGGGTCACTGATTGGTCCTGGCATGAATTAACCCCACCCATACACCCTAAGGCTTTCCCATGGCAAATTCCAACACACAGTGTGTTCACAGCAGAGCTCCAACCTCAATGACTCCCAGCTCTAACTAGCAAAAGCCGTCTGACTTTGGGCTGTCATATCTCATGTCCTTGGACTCGGTTCCCCCATCAGTGAAATGAGAGCCAGTTTACTACAGACATCTTCATGATTTGTGGATTATGTGATTTAATCTACTGTGAAGTTATGAAGACAAGCAGAGCCAGGGTACAGGAAATAGAAATGAGGAAATTAACTAAACAGGGATTTTCCCACTCTCACTCACCAAAGGGACAAACAAGCATCACTGACAGTGTCACGTACAAATGACTGTCCCTCTAACACACTAAGTGCAGCAAACTTCCAGTGATTCAAGTACCAATAAGAAGAACAGCACAGCTATGTCTTGGTTTTCTTCATAGTGCCTTTCTTCACGGAAATAATAAGCAACAGGTCTGTACCTGCTGCTGTTTATTCCAAAAACCAATTTCTTAAGGGCCACAGGATCGGTTAAGTTTTTCACGACACCCAGAGATCTGGCCTGATTCTCACACCTTCCACAGACACTGTTCTAAATTAAAAACAACTGTGTTTTTAATTTTTCTGCAACCTAAAAAATAAAATAATGAGGTCTGAGGTACAGCCTAAATCATGAAAAATATTGTAGTATGGGCAATATGTCTCTAAAGTTAAGAATATAGTTTGAACTGTAATTATTTAAAAATAGCCAGCTGTTTTCAGACTTTCAGCTATCTTATTCAAATTTACCTTATTCATCTACCTGCAAAAGGATGGTTTTGACGATAAAATGAATCACCAGAGATGGGAGCAATTCGTTGTTTTGTACCATTCTTCAGAAATGTGAAATTACTATACACACGGGTTTATCTAGAAACTTTCACTCCCGTGCCAAATCTGTGTTCCTGTATGCCTCCCACTTAGTTATTCAAATAAAAATTGCATTCAAGTTATTTCTACTTTACAACCAATCAAATGAAAGCCTTTTGGGGAGGTGAGGAGAATCTGAGCCTAGCGAGAAGCGAGACACCACTCAGAAAATTTACAAACTGTGACTCCCTAGGGAGCCCCTGAACCCCAAGGACAGGAGCGGACAGGGGTGCCCTGCTGGTTGAGGAAGGTCATCGCCCAGCTGACTGGGATCCAGTTTGGGGCTTAGTGTTCAGGGGCGGCTATGGCCCCAGGGGAGATACTTGGCTGCACCTGCAGTGCCCGGGTCCATGTGGGGCGCCCCTTGTACGGTCGCATGGGAAGGCACGGACTGAATCCGGTACCGGGGACCCCTCCGCCTAGGACGTCTCAGGGCCAAGGAGGTCTCCAGTCTTACCCTATAGGTGTGACACCTGTCCGCACAGAGCACGCGGCACCCAGAGCGCTCCTACCGCGATCTACAAACTCCAATTGGGCCCAGACCCCCCCCCCCCACCCAGGCGACCACCGCGGGTCACTGCGGGCCACCACGCGTCCCGTGCGCCCACATCTTTCCCGCACGCTGATCCAGCCTGAACCCCGTAACTTCCCTACAGGACGCCCAGTTCCCCTCGAACCCTCCCTCTGGGGTCTCCTCCTGCCCCGACCACACGGCCCCTACCTTTGGGGCCACCACTCACTCAGTCGGCGGCTCCAGACACCGGACACCCGACACCGGACACCGGCCGCCCGCCCTGGCTGCGCTAGCCGGCTCAGCTCGGTACCTGAGCCCGCCCCGGGCGCGGCGGAGGAGGGACCAGAAGGAGGGGC